CCTAGTGTGATTTTAGGAAGATGTTCATCCTTTAGGTATTGGTGGAAAATGAGGCCTTTTTTCATCCTTTGATTTGTTCAGATGAGGTGTTCATCCCTAATGAGATTCTAGGGAGATGTTCATCCTTAGTAGAATTATAATGAGGTGATTCTCTTTTGAATTAGTTTGCAAATATTAAATATTTGGTTTTGTTATATAAATAAAATATTCAATTTTTGGTAGTTTAATATTTTTTTGTGAGCAAATTGAGTCAAGAAGTCATCAAAGTAACTTCTCTTGAATTGGGCAGTTCATGAAAAATATTGAATGTTAGTATTTGTGTATATTCATGCGAGTATTAGTCGACCCAAAGGAAGATTAATATTTGGCCGAATTGCATACACACTTGTAATGATAAACATGTGATAATTATAAGGATTTGCTTTGTCGATGATAAATCAATCCAAAGACTGGTTTGTTGTTGGACGTGCTTTATTGTCAATGTTTGATTATTACAACAAGATACCTCTAGCAGCTTAATATTACTGTCCAAAGACTTGATATTGATGGTGCATTGGGTATCTTGAGATGGGTTAAACCACTATTTGAATATATATTATTTATTTTTTATATAATGTGAGCATAATTAGTTTATTTCTCGTGTTCTAAATTCAGCTACAATTGCTTCAGTATTCGCCAATTTAAATTTTGTTCCGGTCCTCAATGGAACAAATTTTAAGGACTGGAAAGAGAACATTGATATTGTTCTTGGTTGCATGGATATGGATTTTGCGTTAAGGACTGAGCAAACCCCTACTCTTACGGATTCAAGTACCTCTGAACAGAAAAGAGATTATGAGAAGTGAGATCGCTCAAATCGCATGAGTCTAATGATCAATAAGCGTGACATCCCGGAGGTGTTTAGGGGCACTGTTTCTGAAAACATCACAAGTGCCAAAGAATTCCTTGCTGAAATTGAGCAGCGCTTTGCAAAAAGCGATAAGGCGGAGACAAGCACTCTTCTTCAGAACTTGATCTCCATGAAATATCAAGGCAAAGGAAATATCAGGGAATACATTATGAGCATGTCTAATATTGTTTTTAAACTCAAGGCACTAAAGCTTGAACTCTCAGAAGACTTGCTCATTCATTTGGTGTTGATTTCTCTTCTTGCAACGTTTAATCAATTTAAGGTATCTTACAACTGTCAGAAGGATAAATGGTCTCTTAATGAGCTCATTTCACATTGCGTACAAGAAGAGGAAAGACTAAAACAAGACAAGACAGAAAGTGCTCATTTTTTGCAAGCACCTCCAAGGCTAAGGGCAAAAAAGAAAGAGATCAGAGGATCTCGAGAAAGAAGGTGCTAAGGGTCCAGAACAAAAGAAACAAACTCAAGAAAACAAATATTTCTTTTGCAATAAGATTGGACACGTAAAGAAGAAATGTGCTAAATATCATGCTTGGCGTGAAAAGAAAGGGTTGCCTAAACTACCGGAAGCCAATTGATTCTGAAAGATGGATTTATGTTGGAGATGACAAATCGGTAGAGGTGGAAGCTATAAGTCATTTTAAATTATTATTAAGTACTGATTTTTTATTTGAATTTGAAAGACACTTTTGTTATGCCGTCATTTAGACGGAATTTGGTTTCAATTTCTTATTTGGACAAATTAGGTTATTTATGTTCATTTGGAAACAATAAGTTCAGTTTGTCTTTTAATTCAGATATTGTTGGAACTGGTTCACTTTTAATTTATGATAATCAGTATTTACTTGATATTGTGACCACCTATAATGAAACCCTTAATGCAGAATCATGTGGTACTAAACGTAAAATTGAAAATACTCACTCAAGTGCATTATGGCACAAGTGCTCAGGTAACATCAAATTGTAACGTTTGGGCTTATGTTACACTCTTAAAGATATGGTAGAGAGTATGATTTGTCATTCCACCTTACTGGAATCACTTTGGGGAGAGACACTAAATATAACAGCTTATATTCTAAACAGAGTACCAACTAAAGCAACTACCAAAACACCTTATGAGCTTTGGATTGGACGACAACTTAGTCTGAAGCATTTCCATGTGTGGGATTGTCCAGCTGAGGCAAGACCTTATAAGTCAAATGAAAAGAAATTGGACTCCCGAACAGTAAGTGGTTATATTATTGGTTATGCTAAAAGATCCAGGGGATATAAATTTTATGATCCCACATTAAAGACATTTTTTGAGACGGGAACTGCTACGTTCTTTGAGGATATTAAGTTTGGGGGGAAGAATAAGATTAAGAACTTCATCTTGGAGGAAGAATCGGTAACAATTTCAGAACCAATTCAAATAGTTACTTTTGATAAAGTAAGTTCAGAACCTCCACAAGGCATTGTTGATGAACCCCTTACTCAAGATGATTTGGTTGTTCATGAAGAACAAACTCAAGATCCTCAAGAACCTCGTGCATCATGAGCTAATAACTTTGCGAGAGATCCACTAGAGAAAGAAGAAGTGTTATTTCGGATGATTACATGGTATTTCTTCAGGAACATGAGGAAAATAATGATATAATGGAAGATGATCCAGTTAACTTCCGTCAAGCTATATAAGGTTCTAAATCTCAAAAGTGGATTGAAGCAATAGGATAAGTATAAGTCCATGCAAGACAATAAGGTTATTGGGAACTTGTCCCATTACCGGAAGGTATGAAACTCATTTGGCTTCAAGATGAATATTGTTGATGATTGTATGTATCACAAGTTTAAAGGGAGACAAGTTTAGTCTCAATCAGTGCCCAAAGGGAATTTGGAAATTGAGGAAATGCAAAAGATTCCCTATGCATCGGTTGTAGGGAGTTTGATCTATGCCCAAGTATGTATGCATCTAGACATAGCATATATAGTTGGGGTTCTAGGCGAGATATTTAAGCAATCCAGGAATAGACCATTGAAAAGCAGCAAAAAGGGTCATAAGATATTTAAAGAGAACAAAAGATTATATGCTCACATATAGGAGGTCGGACCAGTTGGAGATCGCTGGGTTTTCGACTCGAGATTTTGTAGGATGTCAAGAATTTGTAACTTGCTATGATGTATCAAATCATGGAATATGGCCGATAAATTTTGTCACAGGGCTCGCAAATTGTGAAAGGCATTGAAAGACCACTTAAGTTATATTGTGACAATAAATCAGCTGTATTGTTAAGGAAAGAGTACAAAGTGGACAGATTTTCATAGAACACTTAAGGACAAACTCCATGATACCAGATCCTCCGACTAAAGGACTTCCGCCCAAGGTCTTTCATGAGCATTTTGCTCACATGGGTGTTTTACAATTTGAGGAATTTGTGGTTTAGTGGGAGTTAGTCACTTTTATATATTTTATGTTCTATGTTTAATTTCATATATGTATACATTGTTTTTGGACATATTTGGTTATCTATAGATATGCGGTTTTTTCGTTCATTCATTACACTTTGTACATTAAGGATATTATATCGATCTCAATAACTTAAAGTTTGGACCAGTTGAAAATAGACGTGTACAGATCACCTTCACGTAATTTTTCATGCTACACATTTCATGATGAATCCATGTCATTTGGTTATGTTAGGATGAGTAATCATTGTTGGTTTTAGTTGCGATGATGCAATGAAAAGTCTGGTTTAGTTCTATATCCTAATATGATTAATGGACAGGACTTTTGGAGTATGCTAAAGGAATATAATGGCAATTTTGAGCTCATAAAGTCTAACACATTTGTAAGGTTGTAAGGACATATATATTTGTGACCGAGTGGGAGATTGTTGGAAAAATTTGGGTCATGTATATATATGATACATAATTTAAATGTGTTAGGGTCATTATTTATTAAGCCAAATAATAAAGTGATCTGACTAAATTAAAGTTTTGGCTAAAAGCATATGTCATGAAAATAAAATTGTGTAGAGACCATAGAGCAATTTCTAATTTGATGAGGGGCCAAATTGGAAATACTAAAACTTAAGTAATTAACCTAATTCCGGTTATCTAAAGGGTCATGGTCCCCTTCGGGAGCACACACACGTAACGTAAGTATCGGTCCCATTCCTTTCTTTCTATCCCCATCAAGAGAGAAAATCAAGAGGGAAATACAGGTGCTCTTCAGGTGGAAGACCATAAGATCAATATAGTGCTCTACAAAGACATCATCGTTATGGCTAATTCAGGTACGCTTTCGCATTCAGTTTACAGCATGTTTATCAGTATGGGATTATGTTTATGTTTGATTGTTAGAATCAAAATCAGGATTATTATTATTATTATTAATTTTCCAACAAGTGACCCTTCTAAATTACTCTTATAAGTTTGGTAATGTCTACTTTATCTAAAATATGTACCTTTGTCGAAATAATTTTGAATTTTTTTTTTCTAAAAGTAGAAAGATTAGGTTCATTAAAGCTATCACACTTAATTTATTGGTCATTTTATAATTTCAATAAAATATGACTTTTTGTGCAAGGGTGGGATAAATGTTATTTTTGTACTAGAAGTATGTCAAGAAATAAAATTTTACTGAGAATGTTGTAGATAAAATTAAAATTTAAAATATATTTTTATGAAAATATTATTTTATTAAATTTAAAGTAAAATAATAGTTTTGCAAAATAGATTTGGAAAGGTTGAGAAAATGACAAATCTTTAGACAATGTCAAGTTGGAAGTACATTATGATATGCTACCTTGTGAAATTTCTAATAATTTTGGTAAAGTTTTTTATGATATGTGTGTTAGCATTTTAGAAACTAGATTAATTGGCCTTTAATCTTGCCTTAAAATTTTAGTTGTAACAAGAAGCAAAGTATCCTATTCTCAACCAAGAATCCTAGAGATCACTTTACAATTTGCTAAGTATAGAAATTCATAGTTACTTTGTGTTAATTATATAAATTATCTAGAGAAATGAGACTCTTGAATCTTGTTTGAAGATTATATGATAAGTGATATGTGTTATATTTTATTTTTATCTCGATAAATACACTACTTAGACTTAATTTGCATACATGGATCTTGTGGTAAACTAAGAAAATATATGCTTGAAAGGTCATGTGGTGGCTTCATGGACGATGATTACATGTCTCGTATAAATGTGATAGTGTCTTTATTACTTGTGGAAAAGGTAAGATCTTCAAATTATATGTTAATGACATATGTTGGTTTACAAACCATCATGATACCACTTGTTAGAAAAGTCCACCTAAACTTATAAAAGGTGGCGTCCTTTGGAGGGATATTGTTGAAGAGTTAATTCTTAAGATTAAATTACCACAGTTAGTACCTAAGAGATGATCGTAAGGCTTAAAGACATTGGAGGATGAGACACTAATTTTGTGACAAATAATCACATAGCCAATTTGGCAACTCTGACAACCATACAAGTCATCATCAATTGATGAGAGTTTGTCATTGTACCATGGTGAAGGATGTACTCCAAATATTCATTCAAAAAATAATATATGTAAGATTAATGAATTCTAGGAGTTCTAGAGACAGTTGGCCAGTAACAAGATAAACTGAGAAATTTAGATAAATTATATAAAAATACATGAAGTTAAGAAATTACATAAACCATATTGTATGATGTAGAGGTATATGTGATTCATATGTCTTTATTTGTATTGTGAGGTTTGGAGGCTCACCCTTACATTTTGTTTCCATGATCAGATTGTGTATAGCTAACACTTTGCCTTGAGGTCAAGGACCTCTCAGGTAAATGTATACATACATGGTCATGAGTGTGAGTAATTTTATTGGGTATCTTCGATTTACAAGGATGCCCTTAGATGATCTCCGGATTTACCTCAAGTATTTAAGTTTTATTTATGGTAGACTTAACTTACTTCCCTGTATTATATACAACTAATGGATATTATTGAGATATTTTCATCTTCATCATCATTTTCAGACACTTCATACTATCTTAGAGATTACTTAGAAGATTTGAAATATATCTTACAATCCTTTATCATTGATACCAATTCGTTTAGTGATATAGACTTTCTCTATGGTTGTTAAACCTTGAGTGTTAATCTCACATGACATGTGAGCTAGGTGAGTAACAATCATGATTGTAGAAATAGAGCACGTAGATAATGTGGGATATTCATAAATACTTGAGGAATTTCTTAAGATAATAAAGGAGTCATTAGAGGAAGAGATTGACCTAGAGGAGATGAAAAATATTTTTACTTATAGGAATTTAGATACAATCAATATCGTCGTTATTATTGTAACGAAAACCCACATGAGATGTGAAGATTGGTTAATTGAAGAGGATCTATAAGAAGATCCTCAAGGGGGCTATAATGAGAATTCTTCTCGGGTTTCCATAGTTAGGATACTTTTGACTAGAGCCTTAGTTTGTTTTCATATTTAATTGGTACTAGAGATGATTCCTTTCACCTTTTAAATTATAGGTGTTTAGGTTGGAAAGATTTAGATATTTAAACTTATTTTGTGAATATATATATATATATATATAATTTGATCATATTACCTTATCGTCATATGATGAAATATAATTTTGAATCATTCTCTTTGGACTCAAAACTAAATCTATATATTATTTATTAACATGTAAATTATAATATTGATAATATGACAATGTTATTAATTTATTTATTTATATAAAATTATTGATTTTAAAAATAAATTTATAACATAATTTTGTTTACAAGATTTTTTAAAAATATTAATTTTTTAATTTCAATATATAAATTTAACATAATTAATTAATATAAAAAATAATTATATATATATATAATTAAATACTTATTATATACATTGATATGATTTTCTTTTAATTTTTTTTATCAAGGCTTTCCAATCAAATATATTATATATGAAAATTTGTTAACATCAAAATTTAAAGAATCAACTCGTGTAACTTATAGACCATTTTATTTTCAATTTTAACTAAATTTATTAGATGGTGTGATCTTAACTTGGTTTTGTCGTATATGGTCTTAGGGAGCATCTACAAGACATATAGAACCTATGATCAGTACTAAACGTTCATTTTTAGCACCAATGGAATCGGATTGACCAACGCATATTTCACCATGTTTGATAAAATATGAAATCAAGAAGAAATTTGGTTTCTACAGTATACGAATATCAAAATTTTCATTATCATCCATATTTTACTCACTCAAATATGTTCCAAGTTCATTCTGTTTTTTTTTTAATAGTATTTTTTTTTTCTACCAAATGTTGTTTAAAAGCATGTTATTACAAAATGTAAGTCAATTTCATGAAGAAGACGTTTTAACAACTAAAATTCCCTCAACACATGAATATTTACATATATCTTACTTCTCATCATAAATTTATACATGTTATACATGATAAACAAATTATTCTTTCCACAGTATTCAGTATATCAATATTGTCATACATTTTTCTAAATGATCTCTCCAAATAACATAACCCCATATAAACCATGCATTAATATTAAAAATATTATTCCAATATTTCTCATATTTTTCCTCATTTCCAAACCTAATGTTAAGGTTTAGACTTCAAAATTAAGATAAACTAGTGAAATGCATATTATATATTAACATGCATTAATGATTAAAATACTTTAGTCGCTTTATAAATAAATTTATATATATATATATATATATATATATATATATATATAATATCATTTTAAATATTTTACAATGATTTAGTCTAATCTTATTTTAGGTCAATTAATTAACAGAATAATTTGATCTAATTAAAGATTGAAACAAATATATTAATATATTTATATTAACATAATTATAAAAAATTATTAAAATAAAAATTAAAAATAAAAAGAAATATATTTTTAAAATTTATAATATATTAATAATTTAATATATATATATATATATATATATATATATATTACAAGAAAATAAGCATATTCAATATTAAAATAAGAGTTACAAAATTATTATTTATTATCATGTTTTAGTAATTTATTAATATAAGATAATAATTAATTTTAACTATTAAGTCTTAGAATAAATGAATATTAAAAATTTATTTGTATATTTATTCTTAAAGTAAATAAATTTTTATTAAATTAATTTATAATATATATTTTTTAATAAAATAATATTATTTTATTTTTATTTAAAAATAATTATTATTTTATAAATATAAATTGATTTACTGTCTAATTTATGTAAGTTATAATACAATAAAGACAAAATAAGTTCCATTTGATTTAAACAATAAATCTTTTACTTAATTTATCATATTTTTCAATTTTTTTTTTTACCTTTCAATAATTGACATAAAAAAACTATATTCAAATAATAGTTCAAAGGTATATTATACTGTGACTTTTAGTGCATCTTTTGGTTTTGGTTGATCCAAATTTAAAATAAGAAAAAGGTAGATGATTCTTATATAGGAAAAAAAAATCTATAATCATCATGGAAACACTAATTAAATTGGTGTTATCCAATAATCCAAAATTGGACTAATGCGTGATACATAGAAACTACGATTGATTGGAGACATCAACTCTTTTTAAGTTCACCTAAGAAACCAAATGATTGTCACCTCTTCATGGAAGTGACAATGGAAAAGAACTTCAAAATGTTTGGCACTTAGTGTTTTATTATGGTATATAAGAATGGTACGTTGATGCTTATGATTTCCCTTTCTGATAATAACAAAAAATGGTTCCAAGGTGAATTCTTCTATTCATGTTAGGTAAATGAATTATTATCCATTGCAAACCAAAAATTTAATATTTTAATTTCATAAAAAAGGCCAATCAAGTTTTATATTTATAATCAATAATTTTTTAGTAAGTTAGCACGCCTATTCTGGACGACTTGTTCAAGCACGGTATTAAAATAGCTGTTCCAATAACATTATGCCACGTGTCCAAGTTATATGGCTTGGACCAATGGCGAAGAAGCCGTGACGCTACTCTTGCGGATCCATTGAATTAATTGTAGTGCACAGAATTTGGTTTGTTAAATATAAATAAATAAAACGGGGAAATAGCGGAAACCGTGTTTCACTTGGATCGCACATTCACACACGCGAGAAAATAAGGTTGGAGAGGGCGCTGCCGGAGGAACACCGTCTTTCATTTTCCGGCCATCTCTTGTTTCTTCCACCACTCTTTTCCGGCGATCCCTTTTCTCACAAACCAAACATGGTACTTCATTCCTTAATGCCTCTCCTTCGTTCATTTTCACACTCTCCATTTAGATCTTGTAGTTTTTCTTGGTTCGTTTTTAGGTTCCGACATTGGTTATTTTTTCTTTCGTATCTGTAAATTCTGATTTCATGCATTTTTAATTATCGAAAAAGAAATTGCAATTCTATTTCAATTCACTCAATTCTCATCCAGTTTATGCATTTTGCACTATTGAAATCAGAAATTTGTGAATATTAGGTCAAATTATTATTTTATAATCATAATTTTGTTACTGTTGGTTTATTTATTTACTATTTAATATGTTGAATTAATTACTGAATGTCGTGGTTATAAACTACGGGTGATTTTGAAATGTTTCTTTGACTTTTGGATCCGATCTAGTATCATCCAAATCCAATCGTGCCTTACCTCCCTGTGTTATGCTATGCAACCCGTGTCGATTGATTTTGTTTGTTTGTGATTGAAATTGAAATGTGGAATTTATGGGTTTGTGTAGACGACATCAAGGCGCTTTGCGGACAGGAAGGTGGAGAAGTTTGAGAAGAATATTACCAAAAGAGGATTTGTGCCAGACACAACCTCTAAAAAGGGAAAAGACTACCCTGTTGGCCCACTGCTGCTGGGTTTCTTCGTCTTTGTTGTCATTGGATCATGTAAGACTATTATTACAACACCCTCTTGATAATTCGATTCTTTTGCTGAGATGTTTTCTATTTTGTTTTTCACTTTTAATTACCAAAACATCTGATTCGCGTATCTGATCTCACCTGTGGCAGATAAGTCTTTGTAGAGGAACCAGTAATAACACTTTTTATTGTTTCTTGTGTTTCATATGCTTTGAACATGGGAAGAACATTTTTGTTACGGAAAGCGAAAAAATAGTCATAATATGAAAACCTAAACATGTTCTTAACAGTGGTTTTTGTCTCAATTCCTGTCATGGATTGTATACATTTGTTGATGACGGGATATATTTAGTTGGATTTTGATATTTTGTGTTGTTGAGTTACATAGTTATTTTTTATATTAAAAAATGTTTGACAACTTATCAGGTATATCACTACATAAGAAAATAAGCTAGAAAGCAATCATTAATAATTGGATTACTTTTTTGGTTAATGATATGAAATATGCCTTGTGTTCCCCAAAATGTTGGTGGTTAACAGTAATATTCATATGCCTTTATTGTCAAAGAACATCAAATACCTTCCTAATTTATGGTCGGAACCCTGCATTGAAGAGGTTATACTTTCGAATGGTCTCTGCCAAAAAACGAGTTTAAAATTAATTGGATTGCAATACATTGAATCAAAGTGTGGGGTCTTGCATGCATAGCAATATTACTTTTGTGCGTTTACTGCACGCATGAGGGTGTCTCTTGAGCTAAGGTTTTATATATATCTCGTTAAGGATTATAATATATGTGCAAAGGAGTTTGTTTGATTGTAACTACGTTTCTTCCCATTTGCATTTTCATAGTCCTGTTATTTCTAGTTATATTAACTTATGTGTTTGCTTTTCTTGTCCAGCTCTCTTTCAGATTATCAGGACAGCAACAAGTGGAGGCATGGCTTAATGGACCTTTTTTTGGATTGTGTCATCTTCCCTTTCTTAGCCTCATAGAAATGCCAATACTTCTCTACATGTACTGTACTTGTACTAGACCCAATTCCTGTTCATGTTTCGATGAACTTTAAGAGTTTTTAATTTAAAGTACAACTATTGTTCGTCTTGTTTTAGTTCTACCGAAGGCAATGAGAGACCTAATTAGTTTAGGTTGGGACCGATGGATTTAAAAAAATTAGCTATAAATTTTGAAATATTATAGTGCATGTTAAAACCCCAAAACTGCCTATGGCAACGACCGAAGAGGTTTAGATAAAAACTTATTAATCCCTCTGACTTATGACAGGAGTATTGATTGTGAGATTCTAATGCACTTCAAAACTTCAAAACTTAATTTAGAGAGTAAACTAAATAATATCAAATTTATTCACGTTACAGAAGTCAACTTTAAAGGGTAACAAAAGCATTGAAATTTTCACAATATACTTTCAGCGGTCTGCCTACTTTTTTTGTTCATAATTGATTCGATGGCATGTGTTCGATGTGGTATATATAGCCTACATAGGCCTTGTTTGTATTATAATGCCAGCATTTTCTATTTTAGTGCTTTGGGATAACAGTGCATCTTTAGCTCAGAACGGAATCACGCCAATTAGTTATGGGTTCAACAAGTCTGAATTATTCGTTAAAGGATGTTTTTTTTTTCACTTGGCTCCAGTTAAGGATCTACTTATCTTTTAAAAAAAACATATCATCTATTGATTTTACCACCAAAATTTTAGCTCTTGTATTATCGGGCCAGAGTAGGTTGGCAACCTGAAACATTGAAAAGAAAACCACAACCTTTTGATAGTGAAATGAAGTTATCAAACGTAGATTATCTGTATTCTACAGAACAAAGATCAGTGGTTGGTTCTTTATTTCCACTGTTTGCAAATAGAATTTATCCTAATCCGTAAAATAAGAATGACCTTAACTTAAATTGTACTACTACATTGATGAGTAATAAGGGAGAGACGTCAAAATTGGAATTCCAGCTTCTACCCGTGTGACAAGCTGCAAGCAGACCTAGAAAAACTACACGTGTGAAACAAAGATCACGCCATTTTGGGGAGACACATATTTGTGTAAAAACATATTATAGAATACAAAACTGCAGATCAAAGCATGAGGTGCCAAGTGACACCAGAATAACCCGTAGCTATAGTCCCTGATAAGGGGAGTGACTAGAGAATGAGTGAGGATCTTCATATACTCTCCCATGTCTCAGGGAATCTTCAATTCTAATTTACTTGGTTGCTCCAGCTCTAGTTTGAAAACCTTCCAGCTTGAAAACATGAATGATACTAACAGGAACTAAACTTTCATATACAGACAAAAGTCTTGAAATGTTTGAGTACGAAGAATACATGAAGTAGTACAAATCCGTATAATTTTCCATCCACTCTGTTAACCAGCAATGAACATCATCATTCCTACATCAGCATCAACGGCCAGCAAATTGCAAGGAACCTCATCGTTTGAGGGAAATATTCTCAGGCCATTACTGTCATTAAACAAGCCAAATCAAGCCGTTGCAGTGAGGCATGGATAAAATGCAGTACCATGTGCTATCCATCGCCGTTTTCTTTCATGTGGCACCACACACCCAGGAACCTTCATCCATTCCTTCCTTGCTATGTTGTACGTAACCAATCGATTCATTTGTTTTGATCTCAAGGATAGCATGAGGTAGCCTTTGTTTCCCAAGCAAGTCATTCTAACGTGCTTCCCATAAAAGTCCAAGCACCATACGTTTGGCATTCTGTCAACCTCCTTCCACAAGAAAGTCATCTTCTGCAGCTCCCATATGCATATACACGTGGCTGCATTCTTTGTGAGCAACCCCACAAGGAATATCCGGCCATCACACTCAGCCAGTGCGTGGTCAGTCAGATGCAATGGCGCTGGGATTATGTACTGCATCCAAACCCCAGTTTCCATATTATAGGAAACAATCCCTTCAGGATCTGACTGCATGAAGTACAGGGTGCTGTCAATAGAAATGGCTTGTGACCTAAAATTGAATGACAGCGGCAGCTTAATATCTCCAGAGATGTTTCCTGGATCATTCCAAGACTTTGTTACTGAGTCATAAATTCCATATTCTCCATCACAACCTACCACTAGGATCCTGTAGCCAGCACCAGTTGAGTTCCCATTTACTATCATTCCTATAGCAGCACGAGACCCAACCCTAACTGACCAAGCTGGTAACTCCTTTAAGGATCGAGTCAATGGGTTACAAACATATAAATTGTGACGGTATACGTCAAGAAAGCAAACTAGACCCCCTGCAGAAGCCACCGGTAAAACTATCAATTCTGCAGGCAGTGTTGACGTAGTGCAATGGTGCCACTTCTTCATGGAAGGGTCATACATGACTCCAGAATTTGCATGCACATGAGTTACAGTGTAAAACCATGGGTTTGCTTGTGTGACTTGAGCATAATGCCGAGAAAAACTTTGAGAAGTCAGCAAGGAATTCCATCGCTGGCATACAGTGCGGAAGCGAAAAAATGTTGCAATGGGAAGTCTTGCAATCACAGGCTCAAGTAGATCCTCGGGCAAATCTTTCCAAATTTGTTGTTCCATAGCTTCATCACTGGAGGACCGTCCAGATGATTTTCCCCGGCTCCTATCTCTTCGAGACTTCTTAGATGCATGCTTTAGAGGCTCCATCATCCTGAAACTTCCAGACTTTCCAGCTGCCATTACAAGGCCACAGAAGTCATCTACGGAGTAATCATCAATGTCAAAGAAGGACCATCTGTGAAATGATGCCCGAAGATATTCATATACTTCATTTGATTGAATAGTAGAATAAATAGGCCTAGAAAGACCAGTGTGATTCATAGGAAAAAGTTTAATCAGACTATAAAATTAATGCACAGATTCATATCCTGCCCGAAATTAAGATTGGCCCTACTGCATAGTCCAAGGATCAGGAAGATATCCGATTATATCAACTTAAACACATAAGCAACCCAATGTGCTAAGTTACTAATACAAAGCTTTTCCTTTGTATAACACTATTACAAAGAAACTATGCACAGAGTCCTCAACATATGTTGTTTATGCAATAACGAAAGTCACTTGGTTAGAATAGACACTTAAAGCATAAATGTTCAGATATGAATGTGTGATGAAATAGTGAAACGAAACAATTATGGTGTGTTTGGGAGTGAGGTTTTGGAGCAAGACGGAAGGGAGGGGAATTTTCTTACTTTAAGATTAGGAGTGTTATATAAAATTTATATATATAAAAAAAAGATCAGGACATTAAATTTATATTAATTTGTTATTCTATTTGATGTATTTTCAAAAAATAACAAATAAGAGAATATTTATTAGAAATTAAAGTTCTGCCTTCCTTCCCCTTCCTCTAAAATCCAACTCCCAACATGCCCTTAGAGATTAGGGATTCTGAGTAGCCAGTCAATGAGTAAGTCATAAATAGGCATTTCGGAATGTTATCCTTGCAAGGATTGCTTACAGCGTGTTTGATGTAAATCCATTGAACCAATGTTCCTATCTCCTGTCGTGCATAAGAAACTATATTTTATACAAATAGAGAACCAAGGTGATTTATCCCTTCTTAACATGCATCCTTCAGAAAGCTTACAGTCAGAAAAGTAGAATCAATATTTTACACTTGAATAACACACAGAAAAACACACTCAGACAGCTTCGAGTGTGGACCTAGTGGTCATCTTTCACTTGCCTCTTTGTTGTCAAAGCAAATATATTGCCTCTAACCTCAAAATAATATGGCTGTACTGTTCTTACTGTGTGTCTCAATACATGTTTCTAAATCAGCACATAGGCTGAATCAAGTCCACCTCGCTCCATTTATCTCTAATGCAAAATTCGATGTAAACCTAGTCAAACTACGCTTAGAGAACAAACAACGAGACATCCATGTTCAGACCAAGAGAACACAAGGAACAATGTGCAAGAACTATCAAATTGTAGCAGTCAATTTTCTCCAGAACAGAATTAAACAAAACAGAAAGAACAAAAACAAGCATAAGGCAACCAATAGCCAAGTAATGTTCACAAGTTTCACAATTTGATGCAACAAAAAAGAAAATCTAACATCTAGGTTATGTTCTCAGGAAGCATATTGTCAATGAATGCACACTACAGAGCAGAAAGAAAAAGAGTAACCAAACCCAGTTAAAAAAACAAAGAAAAGATCAACCTTGCATGGTTAGGAGTTTCACAGAAACATAAAAGAAACAAAGGTAAAAGAGCAGGAAAACAGGGGAGGGGGAAAAAGCATAGATTTTTTTGAAAGGGTTAAGAAAGGATACATTGAAAGTAGATCTAGGAGAAAGGATGAGACCTCGGGAGTTGTTGAGAGAGTGGAGGGTGAGTGTGATGGTGAGGTTGAATGGTAAAAGAAGGTGAGAGAGTGTGATAGTAATGGTAATGGTGATGGTGGAGAGTGATGAGCATCGCATGCCCCTCTTCTTCTTCTTCTTCCATGCCCCCCAACTCAATTCCCCTTTGTGTAAAAACCCTTTTTTTTTCTTCTCTCTCTCTCTCTCTCTCTACTTTGTTACCCGCTCTTCATTTTCCACGTTGCCTACCACAGAACGGAGTTTTGCTCACGCACCCCTGCGCCACTTTAAACTACATTTTAATTACAAATTATTTTCGTAAGAAAACGAGTCTTTTCTTTTTCACATAAATATATGTTAATCAGAGAATGTGTAAAATAATTTTAACTGTTAACAAAGCATAAATTACTGTTACAATAATTTATAAAATACTTATGTCAAAGCAACAAAATTATTTGCATCATCAGTTATAAAAAAATGTTTTCAAAAATAGGGTCAGTATATAAATTCAGTATTTAAATGTTTATTTGAATTTAATGAATTTAATAAAATAATATTTTTATGTAATAATATTTTTTATAAAAAAATATATTAAATATTACTATCATCTTACTATTAATTATAATAATAATTATAAATATAAAAATATTAAAGAATAAAAAATAATAATAATTAAAATAAAATAAAAATATAATAAAGTAATTATTATTTAAAGTTGACTTAATTAAATTAAAACAAAATAAAAAAATTATGTTAAAATAATTTGATTATAATTTTTTTATCAAAATTGGTTCAACTAAAAAATGTATTCCATTTTGTTCCAAATTCTTTTATTTCATTTTAATTTATTTAAAATTTAATTATTTAAAAACAATAAACTTTTTTTTTTAGGTTTCCAATTCAATTAGTTAAACTAATAGATATGATCCAATTTTTAAAATAATAATCATAAATGAATCATAACTTTTTAAAAATAAAAATAATCATAATATAATTGTTTGAAGAATACATAACTGTTAAACTCTTTTTTACCCTAAGGTATGTGCAACTTAGTTTTTGTTAGTAATACATCTTGAGTAGTATTTTTTTTAATATCATTTAATTACTTAAATAGAGAATATTAATTAAAATGTTTGATTTCATTTTTAATTAGTATAATGTAAAATCTTATTTATTATTTTTCTTTTCATTTAAATTCTTCCATTCATTGAATTATGATATATCAAAAATCGTGGACACATTAAATGCGGAACTTCCTTTGAGACGAGGGACCATAACCATCGAAAGTTGTGTAATATTTATTATTTTGGTTACTCCATATTTAATCATAAAATTTTTTAAATTACATTAATATTTATAAATTTAACTCCAAAATTTAATAATTATTAAATATATTTATTTATATATTTATAAATTTAATTATTAATATTTTATTAATACTTTATCTTTTTATAATTATTTATTATTTATTAATAATATATTATTTAATTATATGAATATTAATAATTAATATATATTACTAAACACAATAATATAAAATATTATTTTAATATATATATATATATATATAATATAATATAAACGAAAAGTTACAAAATTTATGTAAAATATAAGTTTGCCTATAGTAAGTTTGTTTAAATTTATAATAATTATTTTGAAGTTATTCAAATCATAACTTTCAATTTTATACAAAGTATTAAAGTTAAACTCAAATGATATATAAAAAAAGAAGAAATATATGTAATTGAGATTGTTGTATTAATTTAGTGTACGAATAAGTGATTTATTTTTCTTTTGGGACATTTGTTGTGGAAATAATTGATGTAAAACTAATAAAAGAAAATATAATAACCCTTAAATTACATATACTGAGTTTTGTTTTGTATGTTGAGGCACGCACGCACTCATAGTCTGAATGTGAATGATGATTTTGTTAGGTTTACGGAAAAGGCCCTCCGAAACTAATCGATGCCATTTTCCACTCACTCATTCTTCATAAGTGGCATGCAATGAGTGGCATTGTGCCAAGGAGTTGTTGTAATTATGGTTTCCCAGCTTTCACTCTTTTCCTTTCTTTATTAACTATTCATTCCACTTTTATTTTGCAATAAACATTTCATTTTTGGATCACACCAACATTATATTATTAATATGCTTATTCCTCTTTTGGGACTAATAATCCTGTGCTTTATCATGCTAAAAAAAAATGGTTTATCACTTTTGTTGCTTAGAAATATTCGACACTAATTCTACCATAAAATCATGACTAAATTGTTTTAATGCATTGAGTTACATTATTAAGTGGAAACTCACCCAGCACGAGATGTGGATTGTGACATGATAGGGTAGGGGTAGGACGCATAAGGTAGGTTCACACATCAACATCAACATCAATTCTTTTTTTTTTTTTTTTTTTTTAATCTTTCCTTATTTATGAAGTTTTCCACAAGTTATAATTTAGATATTTTTCGATTTATAATTTCTTTCAACTATGGGTATTCTTGATTTTGTTATAGTTCAAATAATATTTAATATAGATGTATGCTTAAAATTTAAATTTTAAGAATGGGTTATATGGTTTCTAGGAAATAAGTTAAATCTGACCTTTCATGAAAGTCTATTGAATAAAAATGTCAAATTTTAAACTAATTTTTACATGCTTAACATTCATACTTATTTAAATAAGTGTTAAATAAGTTGTTGATATATATTAAAAAATATTTTTAAAACAAATAAATATTTTTATTTTAGTATTATTAAAATGTTTTCTTTTTTTGTATACAATAATTATAATAAATAATTATTTTTAGTATATCAAAATATTTTGTATGATTTTTATGTATTATTAAGTATTCTGTTAAAATTTTAATTATCATCAAGAAATATGTTAGTTTCATGATTTAGGAATATGTTTTCCAAAATCGATTTTTTTGGTATAATTTAAAATTGCTTTCTTTGTTATCGATATTTGAAATAACATAAAAGTCCTTTTTCTTTTCGCATAGCACTTGGCCTATGATTGTTTACTATTTATGCAGAAAAGAGAGGATAAAAAATACAATAGTTTATTTCTGACTTAGCATTGATTTGCAGAGAAATTATTTGGTACACATTCATCTTATATCTTATTCCTTCTCCTTTGTAATGAAATGACTAAAAAACTAGGTCAAAGCAATACAATAATACCATTTTTCTCTTGTCCATTACATTTCCATGTTTTTACAATTACATAAGTTTAGCACACAAATTGCTTGTATTTGTTTTCTTTTAATTTTAATTCTTATTTTATTATACATATAATTTATTTATTTATTATTAAAATGAATTTCTAATGAATTCAATTTCATAAAATACACGTTATTTACTACGTGAAAATAATGATGCAAATATATTTTTAGTCTGCAAAAGATATTAATACCGTAAATATATTCCATAAATATGTATTTTATAAATATATTTTTTAAATAGGGTAAGAATTTATTTTTTAATACGTGATTCTTATGATCAAATTTCAAAATAAATAGGATAGGGTGGATAATCTATTCTCAATTAACTATTTGTAGGTATAAAATATAATTACAAAATTATTTAAGTGTTATAAATATTAAAATCATACAAATAATAATAAAGATTAATAAAAATTAATAAAGTGAATGAAAAGGAAGTCTAATTATTTGAAATATCTCCATTAAAATTTCATTAAAAAAACCTTATGAGATAAAAATATAGTGAAGGAAAAAAAGTATATTATTCTTCAATTAAATTTATTCATTTTTTCTCTCATATAACTCATTATTATTAAGATGATGAAATTAAATATTATGAAATAATTGTTCAAATACTTTCTTTAGTAAATATTTTGTAAATAAATATGTTAAATTTTCATAATATTTTGAATCTCTATATCCTTTTTTTTTAAATTATGAGTAAATAAGAATTTTGGAAGTATATGTATTTGAAAAATATAAATTAAAATATTTTTCATTATTTGATACACAATAGAATATTATAACCTATTTATAAAATACAAACTTGTGCAAACATGTGTATTTAATTAGATTATTAGAAAATTAGAATATTTTATAATTACAATAATCTTAACCAAATATTTTAAGATTTATACAATGATATTATAAATAAAGAATAAAGAGAAAGTAAATATTAATATGTACTTTTTTGTCTCCTTTAATATTTCACTTTTTCAATTGAGCAATATATGTATTATTATTTTCATATATGATTGTTGGTATTTATTTTTTTGTGAAGATAGACCACAAGTTTCTTGCACATGTTGAATTACTAATCTTAATTATTCACATCCATGATTAGCCTCATATATATGTTAAAATAAAGATATTTGATTAGTTAAATTATAGGTTTGTATAGTAGTACAAAATATTGTATAATCAGAACTTCTTTTATTTAGTCCTGATTTGTTGGAGTAAAATACTATAAGATCATAGTATTTGTGTACAAAAATAATATGAATAAAAATTATAAAATGAATTCTATGTTTTCAATTTGGTATTAGAGCTTATAATTTTTTTCTTTTTCTTTCTAAATCCTTAGAGATCTTAACTGGAGAGATGACAGAAAAACTAATTCCAATGGTTGTTCAATCTGAAGGTGTCTTCAACGTAGGCATCATCCTAAATGAATCCAATTATGACGTATGATCACAACTAATGGAGATGCAGATTGTAGAGAGGAAAAAATTGTCCTACATTCGTGGGAAGGTGAAGCCTCCAATAGAGAACGATGAGGGATATGAAAAATGGTATGCTGAAAACCAAAAAGTGAAAAGATGGCTATTGATGTCCATGAAGCCATAAATCATGAAAAGGTATCTTCGCTTATCCACTACCCTCGATATTTGGAATGCTTTGTCAAAGGAATTTTATGATGGAAGTGATGAGCTACAGATGTTTGCCTTGAATCAAAGGACATTCACTGCAAAACAAAATAATAGAACCTTAACTGAATATTATGGGGAGTTAGTTGAGATTTTTAGGGAATTAGGCCATCGTGACAAAATAGTCATGAAGGACCCTGATGATGTGAAGTCATATCAGAAGTCCATTGAAAGATTAAGGGTGCATATATTTCTTGCTGGATTGGATGATGATTTTAAGCAAGTTCGTGGAAAAATCTTACGCAAGGAAGTAACACCTGATTTAGAAGAATGCTATGCATTAATCCGGAGAGAGACAATCCAGCGAACAACGTTGAAAACAGAAGATATGATTTCTGATTCCACAACTATGATGACAAAGAAGCAGCCAACAAATCATCACAGCAAATTGAAGCAATCAAAATTTTTAAAAAAAGGTAACTACAAGTGTAGTCAGTGTAATAAGGATGGACACACCAAGGAACGATGCTATGAAATCATAGGATACCCCGAGTGGTGGGATCACAGTCGAACATCGAAGAAGAATTAAAAAAGAAATCCAATTGTTGCTGCTGTAACTGTCATTGACAAAGAGGACGACAAAGGCATGATGCTTGCTACAATCACAGGTAGTGATGATTCCAATGGTAAGACTTTAATAAGTACATCTACCGTTATGAATAATGCATGTATAATTGACTCTGCATATTCTGATCATGTGGCTTTTGATGTTAGACAGATTAAAAATCTTAAACCTTCCTCACAAAAAAGTATTTCCACAGCCAATGGTAGTAAATCCACTATTATTGAAGAAGGAACTGTCTTTATTTCAAACAATTTGAATCTTGATACTGTCCTTATTGTTCCTTCTCTTAAATATAACCTATTGTCAGTCTCGTAAATAACAAAAATTCTTTTAGGTGTTGTAATTTTTGGGTCTGACTCTTGTGTTTTTAAGGACATTCAAACGAGGAAGACGATTGGTTATGGTATTAGGCGAAGAAGATTATATTACCTGGACCTGACAGAAAAAGATTCAAAGAGACTTGGTCAAGTGCTAGCTACAAAAGGGTCTCAAGAAGTAAGAAAAGGCGATGATATTTGGTTATGACATAAGCGTCTAGGACATGCATCTTTTGGTTACATAAAGAAATTATTTTCAAATGTATTTGACCAAGTAGACACTTCAACTTTTTATTGTGATGTTTGTGAGCTTGCAAAGAGTCATAGAACATATTTTCCTTTAATTTCAAATAAAAGTTCTCTTCCTTTTATGACCATTCACTCTGGTGTATGGGTTCCATCTAAGGTTACAACGTTGGGTGACTTAACGTGATTTGTAACGTTTATTGATGATTGATTTTTCATCAAGGAAAAGCTTGATAAAAATATTATGGAATTGCCAAATATTCGATCTGAAGATCAGCTGGCAGACATTCTTACCAAAGCTGTGACAATTCAGATTTTTAGGAGATTATTGGACAAGTTGAGAATGTATGACATCCATTTACCAACTTGATGGGGAGTGTTGAGATAAAGATATTTGATTAGCTAAATTATAGGTTTGTATAGTAGTACAAAATATTGTATAATCAAAACTTCCTTTATTTAGTCCTGATTTGTTGGAGTAAAATTCTATAAAAGATCATATTATATGTGTACAAAAATAATATGAATAAAAATTATAAAATGAATTCTATGTTTTTCAATTATATAATACTAGAATTTTTGCATGTTTTAACGATGTCACTGTAATGGTTTGTTTCATATATCATTATAAATTTGTAGTGTTACCACTTATGAACAAATATCTTATTTGTGATAAACTATTATGAGGATTTGACAAATACCGTACATCTCTATAACCCTTTAAATTTGATTTTGAAACATTTAAACAGTATAAACCCAAATTTATAGTTCTATTAAGATAACAAAATATATGTTTCACTCCAATCTAATATTTTCTTATAGGTGAAGAATTATATATTGCTAATAAATTTACAACAAATGCTATATCCGGTCAAGTATAGTTAGCAAGATACATTAGTGTTCCTATAATATTAAGATTATTTCAAGATAAAAAAATTTTCATCTTTCCGTTTACGTAAAAAATGATCTTTATCTACATTTAAAGACCTTACCATCATTAGAATATATAATGGACATTATTTATCCATATAATTTCTAAAGTTTGTAACTTTGTGGTATAATTTCAAAATTTTAAAAATATTTTATGAAAACAAAGAGAACTAGCTTTCAATAAAGGTATCACACTTAATTTTTACTAGTCATTTCTAATTTTAATAAAACATAACTTCTTACTTAAGGTTGAGATGTGTCAAGTTTTCCTACCAGTAAGACAAGCAAGGAAATTTTACTGGGAATGTTATAGATGGAATTAAACTTTAAAATTTTCTTTTAGGAGAGATAATATTGTTAACTTTACATTAAAAAAATGCTATGCAGAATGAAATTGGGAAGTTAGAGAAAATGACCAATATTTAGACTAAGGTAAAATTGGAAGTCTACTGTGACAAGAAATGACAATTAAACCCGTATCCGTGGGAATTGATCCGTTCCCGCTTCAAGTTTGACGGGGAAAAACCGAGTTGACTGGGGGCGGAGACGGATTCGAGTTTTCCCCACTTTAAAAAGTCG